CAATTTAGACTTTTGGTTTTCATTTATCAATAAGTCGTCGGGGATTGAGTATTTCAATAAAATAGAATTCAAGTGATCATCTAATCTTTTCGAGGATTTCAACAGCAATCCAAAACTTTGTACACCTAGAATATCCTGAGGTCGTTCTAAACATTTCCTCCAATACGAGAGGATTCTTACATTTGCCCTGGCTTTCAGGGATACCCTACCCAGTTCAGCCCTCATCAACGCCACAGGTGAACCTTTGCTTTAGTTGAAAAGCAAAACATCAGACAGACATCACTGCTCCCTCTAAGCTGTGGTGTCTCCTCAGCAGAATTTCGACTTTGTGAGCTACTGGCATTAAAATCGTGAGCGGGAGATGCGGCTGCTGCATGAATTCGTTTGCTCTGGAGCCGTCCTTCCTGAGCTAGGACCAAGATGTGTGAGCCGGAGGCTAAAAAACGGTGATCTAGCTCATACTAACTCAGCTTAGAGGGAACAGTGCTCCGTGACAGGGTTACGGCTGGTGTATCTTTGCACATGGTGATATGAACATCAGAGTCCACCCTTGGAAAAACATCCTCCTTTTGTAAACCCCCTTTTTTTTTGTAAAAGCTGTGGTGGCTCAAGTGGTTAAGACGCTGAACTGCTGGCTGTGGAAGGTCAGTAGTTCAGCAGTTCGAGACCCGGGTGCCACATGACGGAGTGAGCTCCCGTCTCTAGTTCCAGCTCCTGCCAACCTAACAGTTCGAAAGCAAGAAATTGCAAGTAGATAAATAGGGACCACTTCGGTGGGAAGGTAACAGCGTTCCGTGCGCCTTGGTGTTCAGTCATGCCGGCCACATGACCACGGAAACGTCTTCGGACAGCGCTGGCTCTTCGGCTTTGAAACGGAGATGAGCACCGCAACCCTAGAGTCAGATTCGACTGGCTTTCGAGCAAGGGAACCTTTACCTTTGTAAACCCTGGTTCAAGAAGCAGCCAGGGTATCTATGCATGTGTGATGCAAAACTCAGTTGAGGCAAACAAGAAAGAAAGGCATTCAGGCTGGTTACACCCTGCCCTCGGCCTGGCATTTCCCACTACCCTGTGAGCCAGAGACACAAGCAGATAAGAATATCTCAAAATTTTCTCAGTTTTCCTGGTGTTCTGTGTTCCCCGTAAGGTCACGGTTTGGCCATGAATAATGCAACAACAGCATTAGTTGTTGCAGATTTTCCGGGCTGCACGGCCATGGTCTTGGCATTTTAGACTACGGCCATACAGCCTGGAAAATCCACAACAACTCCGGCCGCGAAAGCCTTCGACAACATATTCCAGCGATACCCTCAACCTTATCCTGCTTTGATTCAGGTGAGCACCACACCGAGCCAGGCTGGCGATCCGTTGATCCCATCTGCTTTTCCTGGCTGTGGCTCTCCCCTTTCCCTTGCAAGGGCCATGTGGACTAGAGTGCTGGACTAAGAACTGGGAGGCCCAGGTTCAAAATCTCACCTTGCCATGGAAACCTGACCAGGTGGCCTTGGGCCAGTCGCTCTCTCCCAGCCTCATCTCCCTCACACGGGGTGGGCTGTAAGGATAAAATGGAGGAAGGGCGAAGGAGGCCGTGAACTGTGTTGGGCCCCCACTGAGGAGAAAAGCGAGGGGGTGTCTAAATAAAACCCGTGCTCTGTTTGCCTCCAGGCTGCAGCCCTGCCGCGAGCGACCACGTCCAGAGGCAAGCGAAAACTGCTCCCCCGGGCCCCGGTCTTCATCCACAACCGGGGGGGGGGACCCCAGTTTGACTTGGCCAGGAGGCAGCGGAAGGTCGGGTGAGTGCAAAGGGACCCCCATCTCTTGGTGACACATCAAAAACACAAGGCTGGGCTCTTTTTAGACTGGAACAAGAAAAATGCACTGTTGTGTCTGTACTTAAGGAAGAGTGAGAAGTAAGTATTACTTGGATTTGGAGAGGTGGCCCAGGTCTGGTGCTATGAACTGACACTGCCTGTGCGTCCACTTCTGCAATACCTGCTCAACCTATATATTTGTAAATAAGCAGATGATCACAATGGGGTGGCCAGTGTCCCCCCCTGGCCCCCAGCAGGGAATGGAGGAGGTCTGGTTGCCAGATCCGGGTTGGGAAACTGCCTATTAAAAATAATGGCCCTGTGGCAGTGTCCCCCCCGGCCCCCAGCAGGGAATGGAGGAGGTCTGGTTGCCAGATCCGGGTTGGGAAACTCCTGGAGATTTGGGGGCGGAGCCTGGGGAGGACAGGGACCTCAGTAGGGTACAATGCCATGGAGTTCACCCTCCAAAGCAACCATTTTCTCCAGGGGAGCTGATCTCTGTAATCTGGAGAGGAGCTGTAATTCTGGGAGACCCGCAGATCCCACCTGGAGGCTGGCATCCCTAGATTACAAAGACAGCACAGGCCTCCCATGTTCCTTGCGCCAAAAGAAGGAAGGAAGCCTACCCTATGGGGAAGGGAAGAAAGGTGAAAACCACGGGCGATTCTGCATTTAGCATTTGCTCCACATTTTCTCAACTAGGAGGAAAAAGCACAGCTCGAAACCACATCCAAATACCCCCGGGGCAACGCCGTACTGACTGCAAAGTCACCCCTGAATGGCCATAAAACAGCCATAAATCTATGCAGAAGGTACCATAAAACCCAACGATCAAAGGAAGCGAAAGCAGCAAGGGGTGTGGAGGCTACCATAAAATCCGGTGGTCAAAGGAAGTGAAAGCAACATGCATTGCAGAGGGGGATTTCTGTTCCAAGGTGGGTCTCGTAAAACAAGGGAGGGAAAAGCCGATGCAGAATCGCCCCTTGTCAGGGTAGGGAGACAAAATGCAGGCCTTCAATTGGAAGGTTCATTACATTACTGTGTTATGTTTTTCCAGGTCGGGGTATTGTTGTGGACGGATGAAAATTGTTGTGGACGGATGAAAAACGAGAGGCTTTCTTTAAAAGAGAGAAAGTCCAAGACAAACCTCTTAAGCGTTGACACATTTTTCTTTTAGCAGAGCCCGGAAAATTCTGCACATTCCCCCCCCCGAGGAACAGCAGCCAGACTTCTTCATTCATCATTCCACTTCTGCCACAGGGCCATTATTTTTAATAGGCAGTTTCCAAAGTTATAGTGACACGGTGGGGATGCAAACTGGGGCGCTGGGGCAGGAGGGGAGGGGTGGGCAGCGGTGGCAAGAGGGGCCGTTACTCCATTATGGTTGCAGGTGACAGGTTGAGCAGAACGAGCGGGAGGGGTGGGAGTCCTTCATCCCGTAGGTGAGGCCGAATCAACCCCAGTTCTTTAAATGGGCCGACAGGTTGATTAATCGCAGGGCAGTTATTTCTGAACCCGTCAGGAGCGGGAGCTCGTTCAGGAAGAGACTTCAGAGGTCAAGCCAGAGTGGTTTGCGCATACCATCTGCCCCAAGAGTAAACATTTGCTTACCACTGAAGAAAAACTAAGTGCACAAGAGCCAAGGTGGGTATGTGCTCTCGGCAAAGGAACGTCAACATTCTGGGACGGGAGTGGCTCCAAAGAGCGACCAAAGTTGGGCATCGGGGGAGTCCCTAAGGTTGTAGTGAGAGCCAGTTTGGTGTAGTGGTTCAGAGCACGGACTCTAATCTGGGAGAACCCGATTTGATTCCCCACTCCTCCACGTGCAGCTGCTGGTGTGACCTTGGGTCAGTCACGTGTTCTCTCAGAGCTGTTCTCTCACGAGCAGTTCTTGAAAGAGCTCTCTCAGCCCCACCTACCCCACCTGTGGGGAGGGGAAGGGAGAGGAGATTGTAAGCTTCTCTGAGGCTCCTTCAGGTCGTGAAGGGTGGGGTATAAATCCAATCTCTGCTGCTGCTTCTTGTAGGTAACCGGTACAGGTAGGGTGGCAAGCTCTGCGTTTGGAGATTTGGGGGTGGAGCCTGGGGAGGGTGGGGCTTGGGGAGGCGAGGCACCTCAGCAGGATATAATGCCATAGAGTCCACCCTCCGAAGCAGCCGCTTCCTCCAGGGAAACTGCTCTCTGTAGTCTGGGGATCAATTGTAATAGCAAGATATCTCCAGGTGCCACCTGGAGGTTGGCAACGCTAAGCGTAGGTCTGACAGCATTGCCATTTTCGCTCTGCACGGCGCTCCCGAGAAGATCAGAGGCAGTTCTGCGAGCATGCTTCCGTGTGCTGCCACTTCCAGACTGAGGAAGCCCAGGAGAAGGGTGGGCCGGGCAAGCGTGATCTCGTCAGATCTCAGAAGTTAAGCGGGGTCGGCCCTGGTTAGTGCTTGGATGGGAGACCAGCCAGTGTTCCCTCTAAGGTAAGATAGTGCGAGCTGGCTTGCAGTTTTTTAGCCTCCGGCTCACACCTTTCTGTCTTAGCTCAGGAAGGAAGGCTCCAGAGCAAACTAATCTATGCCGTAGCCAAAACGCTCGCTC